GTAAATTATTTTGTATAAAACTTTGTTATTCATCAATAATAAACAATCTATTAATATTAATTCTTTATACTTCTTAACAGTTAAATTTTGTATTTCTTTTTACTTACATTGCACAATGATATTAAATCAATGTACCATACGTTTTCTCATAGAACAAGAAAATATAATTTTTGTACACTTTTTTAAATAAAAAGTTGAATAAATGTATAATGTTAATATAGAAATTGTAATTCATGATTTAACCATAGAAGTATCATAAAGTATTACAATACCTGTTATATGAAATTAAATATCTAATTTATAATACACAAAATAATATCAACAATTAAGTTTCCTCAAAGAATTTCCATATTTGGTTTTTCTTTTAATTTACATAATTTAATTATCATTCTCTCTTGCATTTTTACATCTATGCAGTAGGAAACTATTTAACTTTGTACAAAGAATTCCTGATCACAAACATACATAGAAGACAAAATTAATGTAAGCAATTTCTCAAATTCCAAGACGACTAAAAACGTCCGGTTTCTTTACGTGTGCTATTGTCGTGACTCTATCGAAAGTTACTTGTTTAGCACCGTTTGTTTTAATTACTCCTAAACGAGCTTTTGCTGGTATGGAAGTCAGTCTCTCTGAAGCTGAAAAAAAAGTACTGCTTAATATTAAAGGAAGATCATAGATATGTAGAATAATGTTGTTAATATTACATTATATACCTAATTTGCCAGATGAAATATTGGTTTGTATTCTGTTATCTCTTGAAGGTGTATTGTTAAATGAAATTCTTTTAGTTGTTTTCACTAATTGTGTAACATTATTTGACATAACCTTTCTACTTGCTTCTTGATCAGCTCGCATTGTTCCCACATTTTTTGATACAATTTTATTCGTTGTAAGAATTGAAGTTCTTGTGTTAGCACTTTTAGTTTTTAATATTCCTGTGCTATTGGTTCCATTTTTTAATATACTTACTTGAGTTGAGTTATCCTTTTTGGCATCTTTATCTCCTAATCGATTAAAGACACTTACAGATCTTTTGAAAACATCTTTTCCTAATCCAGTGATGTTAAATGTTGGTGAGGTTTCAGCTGGATTTGTTGTACTTGTTACAGAACTATCGCCCAACCTATCAAATACAGTCCTTTTTTGCTCTGCAGACTTTTTAAGAATTTGTTGACTTCTAGATGTAGATCCTTTTGGAAGAATTACAGTGTATCCTACTTTATCATCTTTATTATCAAGTGATTTCACCTTTTTAGGTGATTCCTTCCACTGATCGTCATTGTTACTGTCAAATTCATCATCTTCTAATTTTCTCTTAAGAATAGTTTGTTTCTTTTGATTAGCAAGGTTTGTAATTATTTCATTAGATGTTGACACTAATTTCTTAACAGTAACAGCTTTCTTTATTGAACTTGTTGGAACTTTAATAACTTTTTTTGTAGTTACTGCATCAGATTTAAGTTTAGAAGTAATTGCTTTAGTAGGTGCCTTAATTGCTACTTTTTGAACTATTGGTTTAGGTGTTCCAACATTGTCTTCTGTATCAACTAAGAATCTTTCACATGTTGTTTCTTCAACCACTTTCTTTGCATATCTTAAAATAGCAATCATGTCTCCCATTAAAGTAATTCCCATTTCTTTGAGACTAGGTTTGTCTAAATCAGGTAACATGTCTGGTTTTATACGATTATTGGAAAACACAACCGCATGCTTTGTAGCTACATCTTGTGGAAATCCAGCTCCTTTAAAAAATTTTACCCAATATGCTATAAAAGAATTTATAATAAATAACGTTGGCACAGAAATAAAAGATTAGTTAAATTAGAGGGAATCCTAAATACCTGATAACGAGGATGCCATTTTACCGGTTAGGTTATTTTTATTATTTTATTCGACAAAACTTCACAAATAACTTCTTATGATAAATATAGATTGTTCACACAAAAATTAACGATACTGTGTCACATATTTTACAAAATTTATCATTTCTTACACAATTTCACTTAAAATAAAAGATATTTTTTTAACGAGCACACGGTACTGTCTCAAGTATAGAAATGGTAAAAATGTTTGACGACACTTTTTCAGAAAACTATCACAGAATATAGTTAAAAAGTAATAATAAATATTGGCATTCCATTGCTTGAAACTTCAGTTCTACTCACGTCCATTCCTCCATATATCTATATGTATACAAAAGTAAATATATAAATGAAATTGGAGTGATCAGACAAAGTCTACAAAAAAATCGCATGTGGCGACATCATCGATAAACATGTGTATTTATGATAATTGACAGTTTTCGCTTGTGAATGATTCAAGTTTATTCTTAAATTCTAACAACGTTAGAAAAACACAATATTTTATAAAGGAGATATTTGAATTTTATAAAAATTTCAATACTCATTAATCTCATATGTCGTGCTATAGAAATTCGAGCGATGTAATTGAAAAGCTAAATTTATTAATTTATTAATTTATTATTTAAAAATTGCTTGTTACATGTTTTAAAATAAAGTTAGTAATAAGTTTGAAATCAATAAGAAATAGTTAAGTTTGATTAAAGCAATTGTTGCCGTTCTAGGTATAAAATGTTTATGCCTGTATGTCCGTGAAGTCTCGGAGGAATGGAGTTACCCTCGTTGTTTTGGGAATTTCGCGCGGATTACCGTACTATTTTTATCGTGTGTGGGTGAATCAGGTGTCTTAGTCGTCTTTGATACTATTTTCGATATCTTCGTATTCTCTAAGCTGTTTGCTGGGCGAGATTCGTACTCGAAAGAAGAACGGAGGTTAGTTTCGGCGGATGTATTGGGGTATGTACTTTAGTTCTCTATGTAACCGAATATTACACGGTTTGAAGCAAGCTGAAGAGTACAAGATCTGCTGGATTACAAAAACCTAATGGAAACGCTTTGTTCATGTATAATGAATATTCGTTTAAGCGAAATATTTCATTTATTAAGTTTCATACTTTCTATTTTAATTCGCTATGCATATTATTGGAATAAAAACAGTTTATCAGTAGTAAAACCACATAGTTGGAAATCACTGGAGGTCCTTTTTTAAGTTAATTTTCAAATAGAATTTTCCTAACTCATTCACGAACTCAAGTTACAGACAGATTTTAAACCAACGTGAGCATTCAGATGAATTGGGTTTTATTATTGCGCTCACATATGTTGTAGTTGATTGTGCGATTAACATACTTATTCGAAACAATAGGTCATACTTCTTATACATGACATTTACATTGAGAAAAAGGATTGTAATAGCGACATGTTACGTTAACTAGCCGAATGAAGTTTTCGATTTGTGCCATTCTTGCGTATACATAATTGGAGTACCTAACTGGAAGCTTGCAATTCGCGGGGGTTAGATACGGAAGCTGTTGCATGGGAACGGGATCTTTAGGAGGGTGACGGG